CTATTCACAGTTTCACAGATTATATTGAAAAAATAAGTTGGTCTTGTCTATCAACTTGCCGACAGACTAAGTGATATGCAATCACAAATATCTTCAAGACCTGTCGAATAATGGAAACGATTTATAATTGCGCAAATACACTCGTTGTGCGCTTTATTGACGAGATGAAAAAAATTAATCATGTGGAAGCAGATTTTGCGATTTTATCTTTCCTGAAAAGGGTGGGGGGATTTAAATATCACACTTCCTGCGCTGCGATTTCTGCAATTTATCGTTAGTGTCGATTTGTCCGATACTATACAGCGGCTTGCATGTGACACAGTCCTTTGCTTCGCTGATGAAGATAAACGAATAAGACGATCTCTACAACGATTTTCTCGGTTTAGCACATTTTTTCGTTTTGTTTGTCCCGTGGGGTTCCGTACTCCACTAATAAAGGTATACTCTCTACTATTATTTTCTGGGTTTAACGATTTTTCTTTGTATGGTCCTTGAGGGTTCCCTACCCAACCCATAAGGGTTCTCTAAAACCAAATTATCTCTACATTGAGTATTTCTTGTCCCTGAATTTCGTTGTGACCATACAAAGAGAAAGCGTTATGTCCAGAAAATAATAGAGAGTCTACCTCTATTAGTGGAGTAATGAACCCCATGGAACAAACAAAACGTTTTTAAACGATTGGCTCCTTTAGCAACATCTCTACACAAAAAGAGTTATGACATGAACCACAAAAAGAGTTATAAGGGACAATTGTTTACAACCATGTCACGACGTAAAGGAGTTAAAAAATGGCCGGAATTTTCGGAAATTTTTGCTCTGCAGTTCTTATCTTTTCTCATGCATTGGTTCTGTCTTTTTTTTTTTTTTTTTGACTGCAGGAACTGTCGTCGAAAAATCCTGCGGAAATGCTTGAGAAGCAACTGCTCGGGATGTTCATCCAAATGGCCACAAAACAAAAAGGCGCCATTGAAATAGCCTTGCAAGAAAGCTTGCAATTGGCGCAACTGGACCAATATCGCGATCACGTCGGCGTCATTTTGGCAATGTCAACTGCGTACATGCTTCTCAAGCAAGTTCCTAGGGCGAGGAACACCTTGAAACGCGTTGCCAAAAGCATGTGGACCTTTGAAGACGCGGAGTACCTTGAGAAGTGCTGGATTCTGCTGGCAGATATTTATGTCCAATCCGGAAAGTACGATATGGCCAGTGAATTGTTGAAGGTTTGTCTTCGTGATATTGAAATCGGGAATGATAGTTGATTTCATCGTTCGGCTTTTCATTTTATTTTCAGAGGGTTCTGGACAACAATCAGTCCTGCGCAAAGGCTTATGAGTATATGGGGTTCATCATGGAAAAGGAGCAAAGCTACAGGGATGCTGCGAATTATTATGAAAGAGCTTGGAAATTTTCAAACCAGGTCAATCCCATGATAGGTTAGTTCTCCACTGAGATTCTCAAATTTTTACAAGGATTCTTCGCTAAAATTAAGTTTTGATGTTATTTTTTTCAGGGTACAAGTTAGCATTCAATTACATGAAAGCTAGACGATACGTGGACGCAATTGATGTGTGCCATTTGGTGCTCGGGAAAAATCCGGAATACCCGAAAATACGTAAGGATATCCTGGAAAAGTCTAGGGACTGTTTAAGACGTTAATTTTTGTTGTTGCAAGACACTAGCACAAACTGGATCTCGTGTTTATCATGCTATGAAATGATTGTGATGATGCACAGAAACGTATCCGTCCGCAAAATGTTTGCCATTTCGTTTTGCCCACTGTATTCATGATTTTTTATATTTGCAGTACATGGATAACTTGAAGGATCTCGTTGCTAGTCAAACACTGTGATTTCAGGATTTTATGTTTTGTTCGTGAATTTTAAAGTTAATTAATGTGAATACCTTAATTTTTTTTTCTGCATGTGGTCCGGGAATTTTTCCCGGACTGCTACCGGTGTGTATTCAGGGAAACAAATGAATATCGTTCCGTATGTTCCGGCATTCTTGGAGTTACTTGCTTACATTGTTTACGCTCACAGATTGCGTTGAGGTTTTAAATGTCTCGTAATGGCCTTTTTCTTTTTTTCTGTTCAAAGGACTTTTTTCTTTCTCGCGTATATTTATTTTTTTCGTTTGACAAATGAGGACGTGATCATGGGAGTGCGCGGGTTACAATACTACGTGGAGGCGAAGTGTCCGGAAGCATGCTACAAGGTGAACATCAAGAAGTTGGCTGAAGAATTCCGGGTGCAAACCCGGGGTCGGGATCCAGCGATCGTTGTCGATGGCATGAGTTGCATCCGGAGGTGGTATGGGGACCTGGAGTGGATCTACGGTGGTCAGTGGCGAGAATACGTTCAGTTGCTGAAGCGGTTTTGCGAGGCTTTCCAGAAAGCCGGGATCAAACTCGTCTTCTTCTTTGATGGTCCTACTACAGAAGTGAGATTTTGTAGACGGATTTCATACATTGCAGGCTTTGTGTCCGAGAAAAGGAGAGAGAAAAGTCGGTAGCTGAAATTTAAGCATCGAAAAAAATCGCTCTTGCATAGAAAGTTGATGTAGTGTGCGTCGAACTGATGGTGAAATTTTTGAAGAGGAGCTTACAAATGATGGTGAATTCGGTTCGAATATTGCTTCTGTTGGCTGGCACCCGCCAAACTATCAAATTTAGCGGTTTTCCTCAACTTTCCAAACTGCTTTACATATCTCACAAACTACCCCATTTTTCAGATTTCATTGAAAAATAAATACGAAGTTAAGCATGGGATACTTGTGTAGCACACTTCGTAGGTGTAACAACTCTTTTTTAACTAAGTCCTATCGGGGAGAGAGTTGGATTATTATTAACTCGTTGTTCCCCATCTTACAAGCCCCAAACTCTGGAAGTAACGGAACCTCCCTCCATAAAAACTTGATTGGTGCCAGCCAAGCAGTCACATATTGTTGGGTGTTCTCCCTGAATTTTTCAAATTTTATCTCAGGCCTGGAGCCCAGAGCAACCAAAAATTGTTCCTGTCCGGGCTCTGCTCCGGCTAAAATTGCTCTGCTTCAAGTTTGATGTATGTGTCAAGTTTTAGTGATTTACCTGGAAAGTGCCACGCTCAGTTACATGGAATCAATAGCAGCGTTGGGTCACTGTTATATGGAACCTTCTGCGGAAATATCACTTCCCTATAAAAGCATTTTTCTTGGAATTCTGGTTCGAGCTTTTAGAAACTTCAATAGAAATCTGGAAGAAAGTCAGATAACAAAGGCCCTGATTGAGAATCTTCGCTTATTTGCAGGTAAAGCGTCCGTTGTGGGTCCAGCGGCGGGTGCAGAACGCGAAAGACGTGGAAGACATTTTCCGTTCAGTGAAAAAGATGCATGCGAAGCCGACCGACTCTAAGATCTTCCAGTTGCCCACTTCGATGG